GAAGTGGATGTGAGCTGGCTCTTCCAGAGACAGAACACCAGAAAAGCATCAGGTCCACCGGGTTCCCCCCTCTTGTCTGTGCTGACCAACTGGCTCTAGTCTTCACACAGATCTTCAACAGATCCCTGGAGCTGTGTGAAGTCCCCTCCTGCTTTAACCATTCCACCATCGTGCCGGTCCCCAAGAAACCCTCCGTCACAGGACCGAATGACTACAGGCCTGTCGCTCTGACGTCTGTGGTCAAGTCCTTTAAATGACTAGTGTGGGCCTACAGATGTCACTGGACACTTGCTGGTACCTCTGCAGTTGGAGCAAACAGGTCAGTGGATGATGCGGTCAATATGGGATTGCAATATGGTGCAACACCATGAGTGCCTAGTGACAGGCAAGGATCCTGTTTGTGGACTTCAGCTTGGCGCTCAGCTCACTGTCTCCCCAGCCAACTATTAGTGGATCACCAGCTTCCTAAAAGACAGGAAACAGCAGGTACAGCTGGGGAAGGTTACCTCTGGTATACGGACAGTCAGCACTGGTACTCCTCAAGGATGTGTAATCTCCCCCCTGCTCTTCTCTTTCTATGACTGCACCTCTAAGGACCCATCTATTAAACTCCTGAAGTTTGCAAAGTTACACTACGGTCATCGGACACATCCAGGATGGCAACCTGTCTACATGTCGGCGGGAGTACAGATTCCTCACACCCTGGACAAAACCTTTCTCAACTTCTCCCCTCCGGCAGGTGCTACAGAACCCTATATACAAAGTCTGCCAGCCACAGGAGCACCTCATGCCATCACCCTCACAAATAGATGACCAGTAATATCATCTGCTGGGCCATGGCTACTGCTGTTTTTTCTCCAGAAAGTTCAGACTCGTACCACTATGCACCACAATTTCTTTCTCATACATGATACAGATTACTGTTGTTTGCACTACCACACACACTTATGTATATTGCTTGCCACACATAATCTGATGTGGCTTGTATGTTGTGTATTGTCTGTAAATAATATGTACGTTGTTTGGATGTTATGTGTCCAGATATAATCTGCATATTGCTTGTATACTGTGTATATTGTATATTGTGTATGTCTGTAAAGTCTATTAAACCTGGACTTAATTTGTAAATGATAAGAGGAGTATGTTAAAAAGGTGCATGAGACACACAGCTCACTGTAAGGTATCCTCATAATGTTGTATCTTATGACTAACAAGGCTCTTAAGCATTGAAGGTTCTCTCTACATGGGTTTCCCAAAACTAAGAAGTTAGTTTAGTACTGGGGTCGGCAACATGCAGCTCTTAGTTGTAGTAGTAATAGTAGCAGTTGTGGTAGTTTTAACCATAACAATAACTGGAGTTAATGAATAACTGCTAATTCACCCTTTAACCATGAAGGTTGGTGCACAGACTGTTGGTCACCATAGCCACAACAACAGTCTGGCCGAGCTATTAGCTAACGAAAAGGCAAAGAGAGATTTAGGATGAACATTGATAATTTGGAGAAAAATGGACTTATTTGCGTTTATAAACACTCCAGCTGGTTTCCTGATATGTTTAATCTGCAACGAGAAAAAGTCGAACACTAAAAAGTCGCAAGGCTGAAGTCAGCTTCTCGTTCGCCGGCTTCTTGTTTGAATTTTCCCGTTCCACGTTAAATAGTTCCACCTTAAATGGTGCCTGAGATGCCAGAACTGTTGCACTATTTAACAGGAAAATTCAAACAAGAAGTCGGCAAACGAGAAGCTGACTTCAGCCTCGGAAAAAGTCGAACGTTGAGAGACATTTTACAAGAAACTTGTCTACTTTCACAAAAACATTTTCTGCTGGAGATGCGAGAAAAGCAGCTATAGCTGAGCTAAAGGTTAAAGCAGAGCAAAGTGAGTGTGCATTTTCATTTATATTATATTTTTAGCCTATGCTAGTACTACTGAGACATATTTACAGCCAAGATGGTAAAATGGACATAAAATGTTGTGGTTCCTAAGGCGGTTTAATTTTTCTTGAAAGGACAGAATGGCTCTTCCTGACATTTGGGTTGCCGACCCCTGGATTAGTAATTAACAAATGTTTGTCACAAGACAATGGTTCTCCTCAACATTACTATGCTCTTTTGAAGGATGAACAATCGCAGCAGCAGTGGGCGCATTTGCAAGTGATAAACAGTGGCACTGTATGACACAGCATGCTACTTTTAAGTTAATTTTTCCACATTAAGTTGTATATTGAATTGTTTGTTGAAAATATTCAGATTTTTCAGTATCCCAGAATTACTAATAGATGTCGGATCTAATCTGGGAGGTACTGGATTCGAATCTGGCCTTTTCTGACATAAATTAGACATATCAAACAGAGCATCTCGCACTGAGAATTTTGCAGAGGCCCCTTAAGCTTGTTACATCTGCTGTCAGAGGAATTATGCCTCATGCATGTCCATGTTGACCAGAGTGAAACATATGACTGTGTAGAATCAGCTCTTTCTGTGTGCTACCATGTGTTTATCACTTCCTTTACTGTTGGATGCACTGTGATGTTTTCCGATCTCATTCAGCGCGCAAATCCAGACAAGTGCATATTGTCTTTTTTAATTAAAGTAATGATAAAACATGACTGATGTGTTAATACATCTATTCATGCGTTTTCTTGTTAAAAATTGTATTTTGTTGAGACTTACGAAATAATAACAGCAGTTGGTGTAGTGTAGTGGGTAATATCACTGTTTTCCATGCAGCGGACTGGGGTTCAGTTCCGTGTCTGGACAACTATGTGATACTGTTCCAGTAGGAGTCCTTGGGCAAGACTCTTAATGTTACATTTGCCTGCGCTTGTAACACGATTAAAACTGTAAGTCAATGTAAAAATCTCTGAATTTTCTACTTTGTTCCTTATATGTTAAATAAATCAACAACAACATTGAGAAGTCACATGATTCATGATGAAGAGCAGATTAAATGGCAGAAAAGGGTTAAGCCCTGCTTGTAACTCTAGTGCAAAACTAAAGAAGCAAAGACATCAAATAGTGAGTGACTGTCTTTGGGGTAAGGGGAAAATTGTGTATATTTGATTTTCTGCTGAACCAGCACTTTAATACCAATGTTAGAGAAGGGGTATGTGCAGAAAAGTGTGCTGTGAAATGTATGGAGAACCCCTTGCGTGTGATTATGTGTATACTTCTGTTACGATGTATAGAAAGAAAAACAGCCAAACAGAAAAATTCACACCCTACTGACCACACTGTGTGTTACAACAAGCAGATGTTGGGCTAAATAATCCCCTCCACATTTGTACACACACACATACAGCGAGCACAGGCTGCCACAGTGCCTATGATATAAGGGCACTTTCTCAGAAACGGCTGAAGCAACCTCGACAGGAGTGAGGGCCAATAGAGGAGAGCTGAGGCCGGACACTCTCAGTCTGAGCTATCTGACCTAGCGTTTACATGGGTTGTAGAGATGAGACCATTCATTAACCTCAAAATAACATGCTTTGAAAGAATTCACAACGTCGCTCTTATAAGAGATGCAGAGACTGTCTTTGCTTCTTATGTAATATTTCCATGAATTGAGGAGAATCTAATCAGGAGCAGCAGTCTGTTGCTGAATGTGCTTGGCACACATCCGTGTGTCATCAAGCTGCTTTTCCACGTTGGGTAACATTCTGTTTGGAGGCTTCTCCTCACAGACCCTGCTGCAAACTGTAAATATGGCCCATAGTGGCGTATCAAAATGCTGATCTCAGCAGTTACAGATACTTCAATTATGAGCTCTTTCTAACATTTGGCCAGCTATTGGTCAGTACTACTGAGGTTTGGTCAGAAATGCTGATGGCGCACATTACAGGGCAGTCTTATCGAAAACACACTTAACATTGCCAAGGATTTGTACTGGGGCAATTGTCTCAACATGGCATTCACAAAATATTTTTTACTATTTATTTTTAATTTATTTAACATTTTTTCAATGATTTCTTGTTGCTAATTTATTGTACAATATTGAACAGTAAAAACTTTGGTAACTGTTTGACTATAGAATTATCTACCTTGGAAAGTTCTGGTAATAGCTTTGCTGTAAGTGTTTAAGTAATTCAGCTGTATGAAGCAGGTAAAGTGAGTTTAGCATGTATATGGGTTGTGTGGGCAGCTTACAGCGGTTAACTTACAAGTTACAAGAAAGTAAGGCTGACCTATAATAAGGTACCACCGAAATGTTCTCACAATGCCAGAATGAGAAAGGTGGAAATCCCCTTTAGCATGAGATTTGCGATTTAATAATGTTTTGTGCTATATGTTCAGTTTACATTACATAATTATATGTAATTACATTATTACATAATTAGTTATGCAATAGTTACAGTCATTGTACATTGAGTATTGACAGCTTTGAGTCTGCACTTCTAATTTCTTTCTGTTTTGATGACACAAAATGACAAAACATGTAAAAAGTGTAAAGGACAATAAGTTTGTGTTTTTTATATACATGCCAGTGTGTTTGCTTAACCATTTCCAAACCTCTCCTCGAGGACGCCCAGCATTATTTGTCGTTATCATTCAATACCTAAGTTGGCAATTCAGTGCTTAATTAAATAAAATTAGGGGTGCTGGTGATGAATTTAAACACATTTCTTCTGACAAGTTCATAAGATATCAATTGCTCTTTTTGGTGTTGTGACCTTTTACTGTATTTATGTTTATTTGTATTTATTCTAATGTTATAAAGGGATTTTATAGGCAACAACAGACTTACTGCTGAGATAGATGATAAGGTGCCTAAGATTTTGCATGTCATCTGATACATCATCACTGTTGTTGCACAAAAAATATATATATATATTTTAAAATTATGTAAAAAAAAACAACAAAAAAACAAAAAACAAAAATAGAGATACAAGGTATGCTCTGGCAGAAGAATTAGATGTGTTTAAGGGGCCATCACAAATTTCTCTGAATATATATATATGCTGTAGTTTGAATGATCTAAATGTATTCTCTCTATTCACGTAGGCCATGTACATGTTCTATGCCCTGGCCGTAGTGTGTGATGACTACTTCGTGCCCTCCTTGGAGAAGATTTGTGAGGTAAACTGTTCATCAAATCTAGGTCGTGTTAGCCTCATGCTAAACATTTTAGTGCATGCTTAAGGCTGCTGTAAACATTTTATTCTCTCCCTCTGCCTCCCTCTCTCTCACTGTGCTGTGTGTATGTGTTTTAGCGTCTGCACCTCAGTGAAGATGTCGCTGGAGCAACGTTCATGGCAGCTGGCAGCTCAGCCCCTGAACTCTTCACCTCTGTCATAGGTAAAGTCTGCTGCTGTCCTGCTTACACAGTGTCATTCACAAGCATCTGCTTAGTAGCAGCAAGACAGGAGGCACCTTGTGACTTTTACTGTGCTGTAACCTCTCCTCTGTAGGAGTGTTCATCACCAAAGGAGATGTGGGAGTAGGAACAATTGTGGGTTCTGCTGTTTTCAACATCCTCTGCATCATTGGAGTGTGTGGGATCTTTGCGGGACAAGTACGTACCTGTCTGTTTCGCCACAATGTATGCCATAGCTTAAGATTCACCATACTTAAAGATTGACCATTTGCATTGCTTGTCCACATTTCAAGATGTTTTAACCTACTGGCATGTCCAGGCTTCTGTTCCTCACTACGATAACTGAAGTCTCCAAATAGATTTAGAGTCAACTGGATGAGGGTGTTTTTACTTACAACCCAGGTGTTCAAAGTTCAGTCTTAGAAGTTGGTTGCATTTTCTGCTTCTCATGATCCATGTAACCACAAAGATATTCAATGATGTTGTGGACTGGACTTTAGGTGGTCAGCCCAACGGCTTCTTTGTTTGAATTTCAAAGTTTCTTCATTTTTTGTCTATTTGCTTTTCTCAGTAAGGGCTTCTTGACAGCTACACATCCTTTCAGAGCCATAGTGCTGAGTTGTCTTCTCACAGTGGAAGGATGGACACAAACATTGGCTCCATCGCAGAAACACTAATGGATTTTTTTAGATCTGAAGCAAGAGTAGAGCTTGATTTTCTCCTGTGTCTCAAAGATGAAAGCTTTAAGTATCATTTATCAGATGGTGACAGTTTTGTTAGTCTACCAGGTCTTGCATGGTTGTTAGGAGACACATTTTCTTTGAATCTTTTTTTTTTTTGAACTCCAGTTTTTTTAACTTGTTTTTTTCACACATCTTCTTTTGGGTTTCTATTTGCTTATGCAAGGGAATTCGTTTATATCTACTCAGAAATATGTCCTAAAAAATGAATTACTTAATGCTTAATGGACATTTAATGGACAGTTTGACTCAAATCAGTATGAACTTTTAACAACACTCTGGAAAAGAAAACTGTCAAATCATTATTTAGGCAAAACTACTGTTCATATCAAGGAAAACACTTCAGTTAACATGTACACCCAAATACTGGGAAATAGCTGTTTTATGTTTAAAGAAACCTTTGAAGGTATTAAGGTAACTGAGAAGTAACAGTAAAACTCAAACGTAGTTCAGAAAAAAAAAAAAATACAAAAAAGTTCCCTCATGACAGTTCCGGCTCTGAAAGCTTTTCTCGATCTCTTTCTGTTGTGTAGGCAGTATAGGCTACAGTATGAAAACATACATTGTTTGACAGTGATCACCATATAGACAGCTTCCAGGAGCCAGATCATGTACAGCACCAGCTGTGCACGTTATGGCTCTGTAGGTAGTGCAATGCACTGTATATAGTGGGATGTACTTTCATCTGCTCTGCCTTCTTCATCATGCTCCACACTCACCGTCCTGCTAGTCATAAACCCTGTACAGGTGCTCTCTCTTGCAGGTATGAAAGATGCAGGATGTTGAGAAATTGTCTCATGATCTTGAAGTACAGAGGCCTGAGTTTTGAGGCCCTTACTCATCCCTGCGCTCCATCTTTTTCTTTCACACGAGCACACGCACATAAATAAAGCTCCACACCACCCCATGCTTATACACACGAGGACTGACCTCAAAGAGCTCGGATAGAGAGGAGCAAGGCTACAGGATGTGCAGAGTAGGTGTGCTGTCAGCGTAGAGTTAAAAGCACCTCAACAGCCTGGGGTCGCCATGGCAACGGCGAAAGCGAAGAGAGGTACCTGCGGTGGCGGCGCGCCATTTCCGCCAAGCTAATGCCGGCGGATGCTTTTTATAGCCGGCACACACTTTTCACGTCAGCATGACACACTTCCAACACGGGCTCCTTTTCCTTCAATCACTGACCGGATCTGCACAGGAAGTTTGGCTTTACATGGTAACGTCTACTCATTCCCCATGTCTCCTCGCTGCCCACAATCAACGGCCTTCCGATTGCATTTGTACCCCTGCGGGTTTGCATGCAAAGGCCTGTGGATAAGCCAAGCGAAAAATCCCCAAAACAGTCAGTGAATCTAGATTACACATTATGTAAGGTATAACGGCGTGGCTAGCCACATATTCAAATCCTTTAATACAATCAGGTTTGAGTGGAGTTTGTTTAGGTTGGGCAGTGAGCGCTGACCTTATCACTGAGATGTGTTGAACTGAACATCGTGGATTGTGACGTGTTTACACTTTGTGCACACACACACACTCCTACGCTCATAGGGTGACTCAAGGCTTAAGAAGGATCTAGATTAAAATGATTATAGGAGTACACAGGTACTATATTTCTGCTGTACAGTGTAATAAACAATAAAATATGAGATTGACCAAGGCAGATAAATGAGAGAATAAAAAAAGCCTTTGCTGGACCTCGTATTGAAAAGGAGCTTCACTGAGATGTGTGATGCTTATTGCTGACTGTAGTGAAAAACTGAACTCCATTTTGGAGCTCTGTCATGCAGTGCTGGACCTGTTCTACAAAGCAAAGTATAAGAAGAAGGCATTTACAGTACATTTTAAGTACGTAAGGGGTTGAAAGTGTTGACAGAGGATATGTAGTGCTGTGCAAAAGTCAGTGACCACCCTTTAATTCACTTAATCCAGTCAAAATACCCATTAAAAGGAAATACATACACACACACATATATATATATATATATATATATATATATATATATATATATATATATATATATATATATATATATATATGTACATACAATATTTAGTGTGTCCATTCTACAGCCAGTTACTGGCTTTCAGACCCATAGCGTGGAGCTTTTCTTCTCACAGTGGAAGGATGGACAAAAATACCAGATCTGAAGCAAGCGTGGAGCTTGATTTTCTCATCTCTCTCAAAGATGAAACCTTCTGTGTCCTGTTGACAGAAGTCCCATTTTTTTCTATTTCCTCTATTAATTTTTTTAGTTTAACTTTTGGAAACTCCTGCCTTTTTACCTATGTTTCTTTAACTTTTCCCTTTCTTATGCAAATGGGTTTTCTTTTACCTAATCTGGGTGGTTGCTTGTGTGAATGTTAATGTCTGTTTGAAAGAGAACAATAACGTCAGTGACACTTTTGGGAACATATTTTGTTGGGAGGACCACTGTAATTTATTGGTTTTGGATAGGAAGGATGAGAGTTAAAGTGGCAGTAAGGGCACAAAAGTAAGGAGTGGACAAAAAAAATATGCTGTAGAGGCATCTGTGTAATTTTTTGTAAATATGTTTCTTGCTTTTTTTTGTAAATATGTCTTGCTTTCTTGGACGTTTTTGACTGGAAATTAAATAAACGAAAGGGTGGTATCTGACTTTTGCACGGCACTTTATATGACAAAGTATACAAAGAACGAGGCATTTAAAGTCAAACTGAGGTGTAGAAGGAGTTGAAGGGGTTTATGGAGAACTTAAAAACAGAAATCAGATCACTTATTTTGCCGCTGTGCTCCACATTCATGGTACTACAGTTGCTATCACTTCATGGCCCTCTCTGGTTCTTTCTACCTCTTTGCTCTTCTCCTCTGTGCAGGCAGTGCGACTCTCCTGTTGGACTCTAATGAGAGACTCCACATACTACACCATCTCAGTGACCACTCTCATTGTGGTGAGTAGAGGCTCTAAGTGCTTTCTGCTGCTCCTATGATGCCTGTTGGTCTTCTCACATAGCTGGAAAGGAGAAGCCAGTGACTTTCTCAGGGGGCCTGTAGCCGGCACTGCACATCTCTTTATTTACACACTAGGCATGTGTCTCTAAGGCAAAGCAATGGAAACATATACATGTAAACTACACAGCAAACAATAATAACCTTATACGAAGAAGACGTTTACTAGGTATTTAGTTTATTTTTACTATTCTGGTGTGTTATATAGCGTATGGTTAGCATTGCAAATTGGCTGAATACATATAAAATCTCATAGCCTTTGGGACACTATGTATATGTGTGTCTATGCATGATGCAAGCAATGCTAAAGGTTTAATAAAGAATAACTTTGTAAATAAATTGAATAAGCTTCAGTGTTTCTATCCATGATTGGCTTTAACATAATAAAAAGAACAAGATATGGAAAAAGTGACCTGCCTGCCAGTGACATGGATGCAATCTGTTAGCTCATTGCTTCAGTCTTAGTGCAATTGGTCAAAGTCATTCAGACACTCAGAAAGCAGCAGTCATCATCCAGTTCTTGTTAGAAGGCCCAAGGTTGTATTTTATTGCCCTCTGGTGGTAGGTTTAGCTCAGTGCATTTCTTGCAGTTTTTCCAGTCCATTGTTTTTCTTACTGCACTGCATATTTGACCAGTTATCCTGCTGTAACATACCCATTTTGCACTGCCGGCCTTTTTTGATGAGCTAATAGGTTTAGTTAGGTGTTTTAGGCGCTAGGAGAACATTGAAATATTCGTGTGGAGATGCACTCCATCCAGGATTGAGAGACACTACTTTAGTCTATCTACTGTTAAAGACCTTTTTCTCTCTCTTCTTTTCCAGTTTATCTATGATGAGAAGGTGACGTGGTGAGTATTTTAAGTTGTTATGTTATAGGAGAGCATACCTTTTTGCACATTAGACTGCAGCAGATTAAGATCGGCTTTTCTGTGCTAGATGTTTCCTGACATTGTTATGGTGATGGTTCATTTTTCAGTAATTGCATAAAGTAACATGTATGTGTTTTAATTAATGAATATGTATTATGTATTTTAAGGTACGAATCGCTTGTCCTGATCCTGATGTACCTTGTTTACATTTTAATAATGAAGTAAGTAATGGATCTTTTTTGAAATCTAAATTAGCTGAATTGTATAGCATAGTAATAGCATACTATTACTATCATATCAAAACCATGTAACTCCATTACTTTCTGAATTTACAATACTTGCATTAACTTGCATTATTTTTTTCTGTTTCTGTTTATGAAATTAGCTGCAAAACATAGTGATAGCATTTTTCACCTGCACCTGTTTTTATTCACTGGTCAGGTGTAACTCGCGTGTGGTGCATTTTATTGAGCGGAGGAAGAGGAAGAAGAACTCTACTAACCTGGGTAACGGCACAGCCAGCAACACTGACCTGGATGATGGCTGTGATGCTACAGCTGTGCTCCTCAAAAAAGGTAATGAGTACAGCAGACGTCAAGATCTCTCTAGTTCCTATGGTCAGTAATTATTACTGGTATTATTCAGATGAAGTTTAATGGTGGCCTGTTTGTGTAAGTGTGATGGAGAGGTTTTGTGTATAACATGATTCTCTCCTGGATTCTTCCCATGTGTAGCTAACTTTCACAGAAAGCCCTCTGTGCTGATGGTGGATGAACTGCTGTCTGCGTATCCACACCAACTCTCTTTCTCCGAGGCTGGAATGAGGATCATGATCACTAGCCACTTCTCTCCACGCACACGCCTCACCATGGCTTCCCGGATGCTCATCACAGAGGTCAGGACACGCACATGCATACATGTGCAGTACTGTGCAGAAGTCAGAGACCACCGTTCTTTCATTTAATTTCCAGTCAAAATAGCCATTAAGTAACAAGTTATTCATTTTTCAGATTTAGGAAAAAAGGAGAATCACAAATGCAACCGACAGTAGGCTCTTTTTACATTTCTGCATTTTTTCTGCTGGAAGTACTCAGGGTCACACTGCTTCTGCCAAAACGACAATAACACTGATGGCTGAGTAGAGCCTGTACGGTGTACCCAAGTGTTCAAGTTCAAAGCAAATACAGATTTACGTCAGAGGATATAAAGGGTCAGCGTTTCACAGCTGCTGACTAATGTTACACTGAAGGCAGTTCAGACTTTAAAGTTGGTGCTGTTCCAAGCCGCTTTCAGTGGAACAGTTTCTCCTATAAAGCTGTTGGCATGTGAGAGAGCAAGTGCTCGGGTGAGGGGGGTAGTGCGGGGGCAGGGGGGAGTAAATGGTTCTGAAAAACATCTACGGTGGTGCTATGGACCATGACTGTGAGGCACGCAGCCCCCCCCTGCTGGTATACATGCGTGTTTATCTGTCAAATAGTTTCTTGTTAGCAAGCTGTTTCAACATCTCCAACTAACATGGCTAATCTGGCTTTTTGCTGATAGTTATTTTCACCTCTCCATCATTTTATCACCATGTAGACATTAGCTGACATTACTGTACTCTGATAGTTGTGAAGGAATTCTTCCATGAAGAATGTATATATTTTATTCAGCTTGGACACTGTTGTGTGTTTGGTGATCACCAGCAATTCTGGACACATCCTCGAATTTCAATCTCAGCAACTGTGACAGATGTAAAGTTGCCTGGTATGCTGCAGTGATACGAATGCCAGTGTTTTTGAGGTAGTTTATAAAGTGCTTACCTACCTCCGTTTCTTGTGAAAAGGGCCTATTACACAGAAGCCTCAACAACCACATATGTAATTTGCTTCTGTTCTGTTTGGGAGACTTGCTTTCAGTTTTTTTTTAATTCTGCAGCCCAGTTTAAACTGGACTAGCTTCACGTGGGGAGGTGCTGTAATTTGAGTAATTACAAGTGAGATCTGTGATTTTAATCCAGTATAAATCTGCCGTGTCCATAATTTTTACAAGTAATAATTCCAAAGCAAATTACCTTCTATAATTCACCAAACTCACAGCTCCTTCATCAGTAGCAGTCCTGTTTAAATCAACCTCACAGCAAAAAGGGAGAAAAGGAGACGAAAGGGAGACAAGGCTAACCAAGCCTAACTAAAATGAAGTGTAGTTCCGTTATGCTCAAGTTCAAAACAACATTTTTGATGATGGCCTGCTTAGAAGAAGAATAAAATAACTGAAGATACCTCTCACTAGTCTGTTCTGTTCAGCGGTGTTTGTTAAGTTAAATGAGCCCAATTTACTAGCCTAATGCTATTCTGTGTAGTATTAACTGGTAGTTTGCTTTGGTGCTTGTTTGTTTGGATCTGTTTAATTCTAATTTTACTGCTTAAATGAGCAATCAGGCTATAACGTATTGATCCAGGCTGTCTTAGATAATTAGGGGAAGTTACACAGACACTTTATCCTGTATGAATAAGCCAGTCGAATCCCTTACAAATTACATTACAGCACCCCCACTGGTAAACTAATCCAGCTCGAATAGTGGTTTAGAAGCTGGTTGCATTTTCTGCTTTTCACATTCCAAGAAATCCTAAACACATTAAATGATATTGAGGGCTGGTCTCTGGGGTGGCAAGTCCATTGTTTTGAGAACACCAGTAGTATATCAGATTTGTATTGTTTTATCTATGTTTGCTTGCAGAGGCAGCGTCTGATAAACAGTCGTTTCAGTAACGGGGACTCAGAGGTGACGGTAAAAATTCCAGGCAGGCGAGGGGTGGAGAATGGTCTGGTGAGCGTTGAACGAGGTCTGAACGGCCGCAGAGGTGGTCACCATGATGATGACAGGGGTGGGGCAGATGCTGGTACGGACACAGAGAATGAGAACGAGGATAATGAGAACAATGAAAATGACGGGGAAGAGGAAGAGGAAGATGACAATGAAGGGCCCTATGTCCCCTTCCGCTGCCCAGGTAGACTTAATGACATACTTGCTGGATATGCACTCAAGAGTTCAATAAAATCTGTTTGTTAGGATGTAGGAATGGGCAGTGTGACAGTATGTTATTGTGATTGTCATAAAATATCCTGGGAATTGTCAATACTTCTAAAACACTGAACTGCTTTTTGAATGAGGCACAATTAGAGCTGGGCGATATGGCCAAAAACGTTATCACAATAAACAAAATTCATATCGTTCGATATACATATCGCGATAAATGTCAAATCATGATTTCTTTCACGTTTGAAGGCTGATTTTGCTCCTGGGTGGTTAACTGTGGTTTTAAACTATCACTTATGGTCCGATCATGACAAACACTCGGCAAACAGTGGAACATTTCACTAATCTGCCATGGATGAGTGGGAGAAGGTTTCTGAGCTGTTTTTATCAGCTTGAAATGCACAGCTGCAATTTTTGTAATAGTCATGATTTAAGAAAGAAAACATTATTTTTAGCTGTCTGGTGACGAGCGCTCGGCTACCCCGTTACAAATGCTAAACAAGTGGCCAACAACAGCGCTAAACTCTTTAGTTTCTCAACAACGTCAGCTCGGTTCGGTAGGTCACTGCTGTCACTCCTACCACATCCATGTCAGAGCATATCACAGTATTCAGACACCAGCTAGCGACGACTGGGTTTCTCTATACTATCGTAGTAGTTTAAGGGGTGAACCGCAGTATGTCTGACGCTCGCTGTGTAAAAGCATTATCTGCAGTGTGAATCTCTCACACCAGACAAACGGAGTCCTCCTTTTAGGCATGTTTAAACTGAAAGCGGTGATTTTGTGTCTTGTTTGATCTGCCGTATCATCAATTCTCCGTGTTTTGCCGGAGCGCTGCTTCAAGTTAGCCAGCAGCTAAAAACAGCTAGCCTGGAAAGACAGCGCGCTCCCGCTCTCCAATGCCTCACAGCTTCCTCAGTTTACTTTCGAACATGAACCCACTTCTTTCTTTCACTTTCGTTGCTCGAGAATGCACTAATACTAAAATATGACGGTTTGGCGCTGTAACACGGCGCTGTAGACGTGATTTAACACCACTAAAGTTAGGATGTACAGAAAGAGGTGAGTTCGCTGTAGGTCAGTACAGTTACACCACTGACCTCGTCACTCACACTCGGTCACAGGAGAACAGATCGCCGATAACATCCACTCAGACAGGGAACGCATAACTCCGCGTTTCAGCCGTTGCTAAAGTTTATTTGGCGACCCTTTTTTTACTCGTGGCCCCCTCCCTCTCAAATCAAGTCGAAAAAATCGGAAGTGCGCCCTCTCCTGGCGACAGCAGAGTAGTGTCGCTTTCCTTGCAGTAGAAAGCGCCACCAGGGCTTTCGCTAAAACGTGGAAGTGTGAGAATGATGTATTATATCGAAAATCTATCGAACCTGTCTTATCGCTCCATCGAGGAAAAGTTATATCGCGATACTTATCGTTATCATTTTATCGCCCAGCCCTAGGCACAATACAGGGCACCCAGTCAGTACAGAGGACATTCACATAGATCAGTCTTAAAGACACTGAATTGAAAAAAATCACTGTGCTCATAGTTTATTGTAGCCTTTTGTAAACACAGCACTACTGTTTTGCTGCTTTTTTGTCCATTCTAACTTCTCAAATCCCAGAGAAATCTCAGAAAAAAGATTTTTGCATATTGCCCATACTTATGAAAAGGATCTTGTAATAACATAATAATAACATACAAATCATAATATGTTCTAACTTAAATTTTTTAGACCCTTCTTTTATGCCAGCCTGACGGCCTGTGTGTGTGTGTGTCTGTGTGTGTGTGCAGCGGGGACATGCAATAAGCTGAAGTGGCTAATGGCGTGGCCGATGAGTCTGCTGCTGTTTTTCACTGTGCCCAACTGCGCCACGCCCCGCTGGGAGCGCTGGTTCATGGTCACTTTCATCAGCTCCACGCTCTGGATTGCCGGCCTCTCCTACATTATGGTGTGGATGGTGAGAGCATCTGTTTCCTCCTTCAGTGAATGGCACTTGTTCAACGCAGTAATTTCTTTTGTTCCGCCAAAGCAACTGACGTCCCCCCTTCTCCCCCCAGGTCACAGTTATTGGGTTCACTCTGGGCATTCCAGATGTCATCATGGGCATTACGTTCTTGGCTGCAGGCACCAGCGTCCCTGACTGCATGGCAAGCCTTATAGTGGCAAGGCAAGGTGAGCACAGCCGATAACTGCCTGAAAAAACAAAAGCAGTGAATAATTGGTAGAAATTGAATATAGCGGAGAGAAGAGGACAGAACAAAAGCTGGTGGCAGAATAAAGAGAGGAAGGCAAAAGGTATATTAAGAGGAGCCCCACTTGATCTCCCTAAATCCAACCTTCAATCTGAATTATTTCAAAATGTTTATAATAGCTTAATAATAATCTAGGGAAAATTAAACTTTTTAAATTGTTTGCAGTGACCCAAATTCCTGTACTTGCAGCTCTCCTCTGGTGATGTTTTATTTACATCAAACTTCTCTCTCTTTCTGTTCTGTTTGCAAGGCCTGGGTGACATGGCAGTGTCTAATTCCATTGGCAGTAATGTGTTTGATATCCTGGTTGGGCTGGGTCTGCCCTGGGCCCTCCAGACTCTGGCTATAGACTATGGTTCAACAGTAAGTAGCTAATATCACTGTTTGTGATAATTTACTCTTATTTATTTTATTATTTTAATAATCTTGTGTGGAATCCTGTATAGGATTCTCCCCAAAGGTTTATATGCTGTTTCATGTGAATATCTGTCATATATTCAGTGAAATCTGGCCCAGTGTAGTTCTATTTACATGTATAGCATTTAGCAGACACTCCTACCCAGAACCTGTTACAGAAGTATTTTGTCAGTGCTGATACATAAACATACAGATACAGACGGAATACAGAAAGTGGAGTATCTTCCCTGTCATTACCCATAATTCCGACAGCTTCTTTCTTTTTTAACAATGCACATAGGAACTGAGAACCTTCATTTTAGGCTATAGCAACCCCCTCCAGCTTTCCACTAGCAGCAAGCACATTTTCCTTTGCTGTGTTCAGCAGCGAAAGAGAGAGAGAGAGCGAGCAGAAGAAAACAGAAAAAATGGAAGAAATGGAGCATATCCAAGAGAAACATAGCTTTGTGTGCACCTGCTGGACAGCTTTGAGTTCCCATCTGACCCAGATTGAACACACATGTTGAGAACATTTCACTGCCCCACTAAGACAAATATAGGATTACAGAGGGGTTTTGCTGTCAGTCTGTTTTGGAGAGGACTACAATTCTCCCTATAAATGCTTAGTTCTTTTGGAAGTAACTTAACATTTTGCTGTCAGCTGCTTAATGTCTCATCCACTTGAATCATCATTAAAGTACCATTATTTCTGTTGAGCATTTGCTTTTTCATTGTTACATTTAAGTGTATCTTAGTTACATTTTGTAATTTAAATGTTACTTAGGGTCACAAACATTTTTAATAATAGATGCCATGTTTTCATGGATTTTATTTTTTGACCTCTAGAGGGCAGTAGTATTTGCACTGCCTTCGGGTCACATCGCAGGCTTTTCATGTGAGCTCTTCTAAAGGCCAGAAATTAATGTTATTAGAATTGTACTGGGCAGATATGCATGTGTGACCTATAGCTTAGTCATAACCACAACACATCTGTTATGTTATATAGTGGTATAAAAATGCATCTGTAATTCAACTCCATCGATTTTGAAATGTTAGGAATTATTATAAAAATATTAATATTTAATATATATTACACTCAAAATAGTCTTATTTTTAACACAATAAAACTCTCAGACTATTTTCAAGTGTTAAAAAAGGTTATTGTATGCTTTTATTTGCTATGTACCACTACTGTGTAAGTATTTTTGTGTATGTATTTTTAAAAATAACTCAGAATCATGCATGGAATCATTAACAAAATTATCCAAATTAAATTGCTGTGAGGAAACCTCTAATGTTGTAATATTTTTTTTAATAATTAGATCCATCTGAACAGCAGAGGTCTAATTTTTTCTGTTGGACTTCTCTTGGCATCTGTGTTTCTCACGGTAAGCCTCAAACAGATCATAATCTTTTTATAGTCTTATAGTTGTATACAACAGTTTTGGCCCTGGTCAGATGACATGTTTTGTTCATGGACTGTTATTTTGTAAGTGAAAATAAGTTACCACATCCTCTACAGAGAACATCATAACATGTGGCCTGTATAAAAGTTATGGTACTTTTTATATTATGTCTTATTTTTATATTATCTTGTTTTTTTCCAATATATTACACTCAGCAAATAAATTGTGCACTAAAATATTTAAATGTATTCCCTGTAGAGGATGTGTTAATGTATTTTTACTAAATCAACAAAATATGTCATTTAACCTGTTCATGCTTAATGACTGTATGTACTTGTGCTATATGTGAAAGTCTTATACCCATTTTCTGCAATTGCATTTCTCTAAGAAGGACAATGAAGTCATTACACTGCAGTAATGTCCCCCTCCCCCACCCTCTCTTTTAGGTTCTGGGTGTGCATCTGAACAAGTGGACCCTGGACAAACGTCTGGGCTTCACGTGTCTCCTGATGTATGCCGTTTTCCTGTGTTTCTCCATCCTCATTGAATTCAACGTCTTTATTTTCGTCAATCTGCCCACTTGCCATTGACACCACTCCTCTCCATTACTACCCTCTCTTTGTCTCTCGGTCGGTCCTGTGAGGACTCAGGCGCTGGTCCTCCGTCTGAGGAAGATCTGATCTGTCCTTCGTGAAAACTTAATTTATCGATCCTGTAATTCCTCTCTTTTTTGCGATGCCGATGGAGCCCTGGGTCAGTGGCTTTGGCCTGTAGAGAGGGGAAAGGAGCGAAGCATGGATCTGTTCAAGGATGCAGACTTCTCAGTCAGGACAGGAAGGTGAACCAAGATGACTACTGCCTGGTTTGATGTGAAAATAAGGGGTTTTTGAATATTTTCTATGGATATGAAAATACTGAATTATTATTGTAATATGATGAAAATCTCTATTATCTTTTATGATTACATTTGTTTACTAGCTGCTAAACTGGCTGAGAAAAGGCTGGACTGAAGATTTGCCACGATGTACTGAGTACTTCTTAAGATGATAATCATCTAAAATATGGTTATAAATATTGATATAATAATGCGTTCATGATTTTGAAAGATTTCTTAAGCGATTACTTTGGGATTAGCCAAAAAAAAGGTACTGGTGACCTGTTGTATATACTTATGGACAGTACTGATGTGGTTACCCAGGTGACTGGAGATTCCTCTCTTATCATGGGCATTATCCTTGACACCTAGTTCAGTCCTCCCTCCCCAGCTGTGTCTGGATGCCAGGGATTGTTTGGAGGGAAAACTTTTGAATATGTTAAATCAGAACATGTTTACTTTCTAGAGTAGGAAGGAAATATCGAAAGGTTGCTGTACACAGTGGTGAAATGGTCCATATCAGATAATTATGTTTCCAATTAACAAGCTCTGGACTGATATTTTTTTTTTCTTGAGGGTCTTGGGGGACTTTTTGAGTAGCAGTGGTACGGGCCTAGATGCAAATAAATTGGGTCAGAGCCGTAGTTCGCTTGCCAACGGTATTGTATTTATGTTTAAAGTGAGAATATGCTGACCCTGGAATAAGGGACGTGTAAAAATATGTTTACGAATTATTTGTTTTGTCTCTATTACTCTGTATATATTGACGCAGAGATTCTTCTATTTAATAATTTATTGAACTATTTATGCACATTAATTTCCTCTTGCGGTCCTAAAAGAAAACAAAAAAAAAAACAAAAAAACACAGCTGTCCCAAAGAAGAGACCATTTTGGAGTTTCAGCCAAGCTATGTCACTTTATCTTTCAAAGCTTTGTGTCACCTTTTTTTAAGTAGAACTGTTTCGGCACATCAGAGTGGTTTGGTCACTGATAGGAGTGACCACAGTGTGTGTGTTTATCCCAGTGTTTCTGCTTTTTAATAAAAAATAATGTTCACAGGAATGGTGAAAGGACAAAGTGAATTGCAAACCCAAATAGCTGATTAGCGGGAACATATCCTGATAAAATGAAGCTAACCTCTTCTGATGGTTGGATTTTTAGAGAAACCTATTGGAACAGTCCATCCAAAGCGGATCCATTGATTTTATGCAGATATTCCACTCTGGTCTTGGAGCTTTCTGCGATTACTAGACTTGAAGTTATGAATGGGTTTTAGATAGCGCAGCTGAATAACTCTGTAAGTCATGGAGCCTCATCTGTTCGGACTGTTTTCACAGAGCCTAACTGGCTACCTTCATCATATCCGGAGACGCCACCGGGATTTATTTCAGCATCTCAGATGAATTTCACTACCATGCATTCTGAGAACTCTGAACTGTGGTACAACATTGATCACATACACTTTTGAGCTTTGACTTGCGGTACTTTATCTCGTCTGAAGTCTTTAGAAAGCTGCCGTGGTTTGGATTTTGTGGTTCTCAAAGCCCAGGTAGCACACAGAACATCACACAAGTCTCCATGTCAGAAGGCACATTACATGAACATATGTGTTTTATGCACTGACCAATTCACTCGGTCTTACTGTTCATATCTTACCGGTAGAGTTTAGCTACTATCAACTTATATGTAAAACTCAGCAAAGTATTTTTATCACAAAAAAAAAACTGTTTGTACTTTGTAATGCAAGATGTTTCGAACTGTTCTCTGCTTTAAAATTTAGGATGTGCGTCAAAAAAATCGATATGTACATACTTTAGCTCATAAAGCTAATTTCCAATTTGTCGGCTCACTGTTGATTTTTAATAGGTTTTCTTTTTGTATATTTAGTCACAGTTTCTGTAGAACCTTACTTTTGCTACTAGGATAGAGAGTCAAAATGTATTTTTAGCTCCACTAAAATCACTTTGCCATGATGATAAATATGTTGGTACCTTTATCACTCTGGAAATATACACAAGGAGACATATTAAACATAATTCCCAAAAATGCAACAGCAGTATTAGTAATAGGATGTGCCACTTCTACTTAATGTAAAACTTGGTTTATTCAAGATAGAATGTATAATATGGAACTGTTATTCTTGGATAATAAGGGTTGCTTAATATTAGTTAGTTGCTTCATTTTGTTGTTTTGTAGAAGGTTATATATTTAGAAGATTATTTAAATAATTGAGGGAAAACAGGGTTCCTGATAGAAGTCCACTTGATTTGTAATGCAATAATAATCATTATTAATGTGTACATATTATCTCTTGTTAGTCCTGGAAAAGACACCATACACCTTACAGAACAAAATAGCTTACATACATAATTCCGTCAGTAATGGAGTTGATTTTAGTGAAATTTGTTCACTCTTTGCTTTACATTATATTTAGATGAGAGCAGCAGCTTTGACATTCAAAAGCAACACATTTGGCTCCTACTGAAGCACTGCAATGACACAGCCTTCAAAATGCCCCAGTAAAACTGCTTGATTTCCTGGAAAAAGCAATGGCTATATTCAGATTTGTGGTTGAATCACTTCATTAAGGACAGATGTTTTGTCTTTAATGGTACACTAATACTGTTGTCTTGATCAGTGCTTAATGGCCAGTTTCAGTCAAAGAAACAGTGTTCAGCTATGTTCTGTGCTGCTGTTCCTTTGTACGCACAACCATGACACCAATTATGAGCAAGGGCAAGCACAAGTGATTAGCCCACACTTATGGGTGGAACATTTTTCCACATATTCCCCACTCAGATGCTCATATCTGCTGGTGTTCTTTAATGGATGAGAGCAATTTAAAACACAAATGTGATATTTACAGGGTGATGCATCGCTGATGTACATATATACATATGTGTAAATGTATTTATATTTTTTGTCTTAACCTGTATATCTGTTGACTATATTTTCATAGATACTGTACGATGTTTGGGTCCTCATTTCTGTTGTGTTTTGATTAAAACGCCCTTTGGTTCGCTAATTCGCATGAGGATATTTTAATATAAGAACCTACTTATGTTTATTATTATATAATTGGTGGACACTGATGAGACAGCTGTGAAATTAGACCTCTTAGATCATTGCATGTTTTATTTTTTTCAGGGGAATACTGCTGGATCTTTGATTCTTCAATGATGGAAACAGTAAATGTTTAAGTCAGCATTAATGGTTTACTACACATTTCAGAGAACACGAGAAAGAACTGTTGGCTTTATGTACTGAAATATTTTGTTCAGGTGTTTCAAGTGTATATCAGAGTACATTTTTGCTACTCAAGCATAAATAAAATGATCTTTGCTAAGGCCAAAGACCTGCTGTTCTCCTTTTACCCATGATTGGGTCACATCCTACTGTGTGTGTGTGTGTGTGTGTGTGTGATTTCAACTAAAGGCCTTTTTTAACTTACATTTCAGTATTCTACAGAGAACAAGAGAATATGGCATATGGCATTTTCCTGCACATTTTAGTAAAAAAATTCTATTTGCAGAGTTTAACATTTAAAACATAAAATATAAAATGTGCCATAACTTTTGCACAGGCCATGTTCTTTCCCTAATGTGTTAAATTAAGCAAATATAAAGCAAAGTAAAAAGTAGTTGTGCATTAAAGTGTGCAAGTGTGTTCTCTGTAGAGGATGTGTTCACTAGAAAATCAACAAAATCTACTGCTATTAGAATTACCTTTGTTATTTAAAGGAGCACTTTGTAAAACTTCCTGAGACATCCTGACAAGTAAAGGAATGAAGCTTAATGCGGAACTCGCAACATTTCTTGTAGACTGTTAAGTAAACGGGAAGGTGTGAAGAAGGAGGAGGACGGACTGTGTGCTGGATGAATTCGACTGGTTGCGTCATCTTACATATTGCTACTTTAAAAAATAAATGAAAAAGAAAGAATTAATGAATGAATGAATTCATTAATGAATTATATACAAGTCTGCTACAATCGTATTTCAAAACATTTAAAAACTAAGACAGAGCCATGTTTTCCTATTGGTTCACTGTTACCTCATTGTGTTTATAGCAATAGTAGTTGACTGTTCAGTATGTTTGCCCAAGTGCAAGAAAATGTGACATCCACAGACGGCGAGTGGTTTTTGGCCTTTGCGTCATGACAATTCATGAAAACAGCCTTAATAAATAATAGTTTTTATTTCTGCTATTTACTCAAAAACATTAGAAATAAGTCCATGTATATTTAGAAAAATATAGTATTTCAGTGTGCAACAGACTGCCTATCTTCCCTCCAGACAGATAAATCACCTTGAAAACAGGGCATAGCCTATAATAAAAGCCGTTTCAAAGCAAGAGAGAAACAGATCTAAAGCAGAATAAAATATGCCCCGTCCACCTTTCACATTCTAGAAATACTCTAGCAGGAAATTCGACCGTACAAATCTAATTAATTGCGCTCCTGCAGCTGCTCCCAATGCTTGTGGGAATTGTAGTTCATGGAGAACTCCCAATGTTCTGCCAACATTGCCGTGACGTTGCGGTAACGTGATAACGCCTGCTGGATGGAGACAGTTTGATAACCACTTCCGCCTATTTTCCTCGCAAGTCTTTCTTGTGTTTATATGCAAGAATAGTTTCCAGGATTCGGGTTTCTCATAAACTAGCTTACAGTTTGCAAGCTCGCTAGCTTGCGTAACCCATGGAAGCAAACAACGGAAACGGTTCAAACTGGGCAATACAGCGACGAGTGGAGGGGCTGGTGAACAAACACATGGCAGACATGGCACTGGAGACACTTCAGCAGAGGCTTTCAGCTGTCTCCGAAGAAATGAACCATTTGGCAGATGACGTCTCTAGACGGGAAGGTGTTCCTAAACGCCTAGAAGACGCACCTCGGCGGACCGATGTAAACTTCAATGTAGAACCGCTGTCGGAGTCTTACAGCACAGCGATAGTAGGAGAAAAGTTGATGCCAGACGCACCATCATCATCATCATCATCGTCATCATCAGGTAGGCTGTGACTGTGACAAGTTGATCATTGTGGTGCTAAAGTTTACTGCGAGCTTCACACGGCTGTTTGTCTATTTTTCTACTTTGTTAAGTATATACTTTGTTAAATTACAGCCTGAGTGCTATTTTGAATGTTCCAGTTGACATCTAAAGAAAGCATTGTGCTTTGTTTTGATGTCCAAAAGGCTGCTCGTGTTGTCATAACAACGATGCATAACCAATAATACTGGCCAAAACAAGACAATCCCACATAACCTGATTGTTTACAATAATACCAAAACGTCTGTACTGTCTATGGGCAAACTAATAATAATAAGATTGAGGTCTAACATAGATACATAATGTATAAAATGTTTTCATCATAGTAAAAAGAAAAATCATAACTTTGGTTTGCAAATATTTCTTCATGTCTTTGCAAACATTTAAAGTAAAAGGAAATTTAGTGAATTTTGGTTATTGGTTTATAAATAAGGGAAGCATTTCATAAGGGTGCGGACTGACTTTCACTGAATTTGAAATTGGCCAGTGACATCCAGTCATTTCCTGCTTTCTGGAATCTTAAGGGAACCAATGTGTGGTTTCATAGAGCTGTGCATATCTTTCTAAGAACCTAATATGTTATTAATCAAATGTGTTTTCAAACATTCTCCATTCTACACCATCAGAAACTGCTGCACAAAGGAAAATTATATCACTCCTACTTGAGATCAAGGAAGAGCAACGGAGACAGTGGGTTGTGCTGAAAGACCTGCAGGCCAGGGTTCAAGGACAGACATGGGAAGAGGAGGTTGAAGCTCTTGATATAGATCTACCAATACGGACGATGGAACAACTTGATGAAACAGAGCGGCATTTGGAAGACGCGGAAGCACAAAAGAGAATGGTAATATCTTATAAATGAATAATAGTTAAAGGGTCATTGTGATAATGCAGATGATATGCCATAAACAAACTAAGACTGCAAGATAACATAACAGTCAGTGTACACTGTATGGACAAAAGTATGCGGACACTTGACCATCACACCTAAATGAGCTTGTTGAATATCCCATTCCAAAACCATGAGCATTAATATAGAGTTGGCGCCCTTTGTGGCTTTAACAGCCTCCACACTTCTGGGAAGTCTTTCCACAAGATTTTGGAGTGTGTCTGTGGGACATGTTGCCATGCAGTCAAAAGAGCATCTGTGAGGTTGGACGAGAACGCCTAGCTTGAAATTAATGTTTCATTTCATCTCAGAGGTGTTCAGTGGGGTTGAGTTCAGGGTTCTGTGCAGGCCACTCTGAGTTCCTCCTCACCAAACTTGTCAAACCATGTCTGCTTGTTTTGTATACAGGGGCACAGTCTTGCTGGAACAGGAAATGGCCTTCCCCAAACTGCTGCTGTAAAGTTGGAAGCATATAGTTGCCTAAAATGTCTTTGCATGCTGTAGCATTAATATCACCCTTCACTGGAACTAAAGGGCCCAGCCCATACCCTGAAAAACAAAGCTATGCTATGCAATAGACCCCATGTGTCAAACAGAAGGCCTGTGGGCCAGATCAGGCCCGCCACACAAGCCGGCAGAAGTATTTTAATTTTCTATTATTATTAGCCCATTTCACAATGTGCTGCACTACAGGCTCCAGCATGCCCTGCAACATATTGTGCTCTGACTCTCCTACCCCAACAACCGTCTATGGGATAGCGGTTACACCTCAGTTCTACACAATTCTGCACAATTCTTCCACACCAGTCATGTCACCAAATACACTAGCTGCATTTCAGCTGCCGTTCAACCAATATAAACACTTAACGTCAGCTCAGCAGAAATTGAGAAAGAAATTGAGCCCAAGTATTAATGAACTTGCCAGGTGTCTAGTTCAAGCAAATAGGTAGGTTTGAAAGACCAAGCACCTTGGGACATTTAAATTTTGAATATTTCAAGTGTCCATGTAACATTTTAAGGTCTACTACAAGTGCGTATATTTTACTGCTGAAGTTTTTGCACAACATTATTTAAAAAAGGGAAATTATTATGAATTATAAAAAGGGACTATTATTTCTGTGCGCTTTAGCACCCGACCCTTGATGACCTCTCTGTGAGTTTGCAGGGTTTACTGCTTTGTAGTTGAGCATTCATTGCTCCTGGATGCTTCTATCTCACAATAGCTCTTACAGTTGACCAGGGCAGATGTAGCAAGACAGAAATTTCACAAACAGCTCTTCAGTATGGCCCATTATACTGACAGTGCTTGTCTATGGAGATTGCATGGTTGTGTGATTGATTTAATACACCTGTTAGTAAAGAGTGTGACTGAAACACCTGAACTCAATAATTAGGAGGGGTATCCACATACTTTTGACCATATTTTGATCACATGACAAAAGTGTTTTGTGCTATCAAAAGAAAATATGTTCAAAAAATGGATTATTCTATCCAGTGTCTTGCCATTTTGAAATATCTTTCCATCTTTACCAACCTCTGGAAGGTTTTCAACAGGTTTTGCCTAAGACAAAGTTTATTCTTTGGTAAAAAACCTTTGATCAGTAGCTATTTTGTCATTTAAATTTCTTGAAGGATTTTGTATTTCTTCTTCACAGTTTGATCGCTATGTTTTACCTCTTTTTCTTTTCTAAGCACTAACCCGTATTCCAAAACTACAGGTGTCCCATCTCTCCCGAATGGGCGGTGCAACAGTGGATGATGCTGTCAGGCGGCTGTTGCAGGCAGTTTTATCTTTTGCCGTAGGTTCAGAGTTAAACTGGATTGGCAGAGGACAAAAAAGGAGCTTCAAAAACACTAGACTGCAAGGAGTTTTGTTTCGTGAGTGATTTTCGAGCAGTTGTTGAATTAAACATCCCCTTTGAGAATCCTTAAGATAATAACACAGTCATAAATGTTCATGTGCTATTGGTATTCTCTCAGACACATTCGGGAAACTGTGTTACCCAAGATCCTAATATTAAGCAAAGAGTAATAGCTTTATTTTCCACAGGCGCATTAAAGAGGACCCCTGTAGGAAAGGAGGCCACGCACCATCAGTTTGCAGATGTAGTAAAGAGATGGCTACGATTTGCACCATTCAGACAAGGTGGCAGCGGTCGGAGACAGCATTACAAACCTCCGGTTGAATTCATGTGCCCCAAGTATCCTGATACAGAGGGGTGATCACATCATAAAATGGTTCACAATCTCATATTTCAACACAGTTACATCTAAAAGCATTAAAAACAGTCCATTCTGCTTGTGCATTTCAAAATGCTATTTTAAGTTAAAGCTTTGTCTGATCTTTTGGATAAATGTTTCTTGCTATGACTGTAATGAACCATAAATGTCCTGAGGTATAGTTCAGTATAGATGCAAGTTCATGAATGGCATTACAGTGCCATTTAGAATTATTGGCACCCTTGGTAAGCAGAAAAGGCAATAAAAAAATTGTCTTTGTTGTTTATCAGTTGATGTTATATTGAAAAAAAAGAGAAATCTTTCATTGGGGTACAATTATTTAAAGAAAAAATAAATCTTTATCTAATAAACATTTTTCTCAAAAACATATGAGTCATAATTATTGGCTGATGTGGTTTCAGTAGTGGCTCCTCTAGATACAGGCTAAAACCAGTCAGAGTGGATGTTAACAGCTGCTTTACCAAAATGGCAGAGAAGTACACTACCATCCAAAATCTGGAATCCCTTGCAAAAATGAACAGATTTTGTTATTTTTGTTGGGTACTGAGCATGCATAGCCAGTGCCTCACACAAGTCTGCCCCAAATGCATCTAGCACTCTTGAGCCCTCAAGGTCTCTCGCACTTGTTGACTTCGCTGTTCCTAGGAGGACAGCTGCAGAATTAAATGGTTAAGATGTAAACATGTAGAAGTCATTCAGAGCCATTTAATATGATAATATGTTCGAGATAAACTTTCCAAGGCAGAATTGTTCACAGCAGTGCTACCTCTAAAATCTCACAAACAGTTATTTTTTAAAATCCCATTCATGGCAGAGAGGAACATGTAGGACGCTGTAAGAAAAAAAGTTCCCAAGGTAATTGTATGTTTTTCCATTATTTTCCATTTATTTTACTTGTAACAATTCAGAAGACGTGTAGGTTCACTGGTCATTTTGGATTTAAAATATACTGGGTATATTTGCATTGTAGACATAATGACCCCTGGTTCCTATCACCACTGAAAAGAAATTTATAGGTGGCACAAGAAGTTTATGCCAAGTTTCTCTACTGATCCAGTTCACATAAAAACACACTGAATGACTTTGTTTGCATCTCATTTTTTTTTTTTTTTAAATAAGTGGAGTTCCCCTTTAAGGCACTTTTTGATGCAGGCCTTTAGTTATCCATCAACATGGGGAAGAGTTATTAATATAATTTTAGAAATCAGAAAGTATGGCCTTAAAAAAACCTTTTCAGACATGTCTACTGTGAAGGCAATAATTAGGAAGTTTCAAACAACTGGAACCACAACACGAGTGTCCCGACACACAGTGAGGAAGAAGTTTGAGAAGCAAAACCTTCTTCAGTGGTTACATTTGGACAGTTGTAGTGGTTGGTAGCATCCAAGTCTTTAAAACTACAGTTGTCTATTTACATGCCAGCAAAGTGCTCAGAAGGCTTGTTGAAGAAAGCTTTTCCTCACATCAGATCACAAACATAAGTGCCTGGAGTTCAGCTGGAAGTAGCTGACTGCTTTAACTGTCAGAACAGTGCTGCGGTATTATTATACACTCCCCTTCGCGTCGTCTCAGTGAATGCTGAGCTGTTTTGAATCAGGACAGTGTCTGTTATTCTCCACCGCAGTCACAAACAGCGCTGAGGCACGTCACGTGGTCACACAGGGCAGTCGCTAGGCGTCTTTTCGTATCTTAGCAACGCTACATAACTTCCGGTAGAGTCAAGTCAAGTCAAATTTATTTGTATAGCGCTTTTTACAACTGATGTTGTCACAAAGCAGCTTCACAGAAATCCATTAAAGACAAAGTTTTAACATGAAATGTAAATCCTCCAAGTGAGCAAGCTAGTGGTGACAGTGGCAAGGAAAAACTCCCTCAGTGGGAGGAACCAAGGCTCACATGGGGGGACCCATCCTCCTCTGGTCAGACTACCTACAAAATTATTATACTACTAATATTAATAGTAGTAGTAGTTAGGAGTCCATGAAAACTTCAGTGTAGAGTGGGAGTGGGCAGCTAGTCCAAGTCAAGTGGCGGTAGCTGGGCAAGTGGCGGCGACTGGGGCGTGGGCAATTGGTCTGAAGCGGATAGCAGGAGAGCTCCGCAGACAATCATCCATCAGTGTCCGTCCGGCAGGTGGGCAGTCGTTTGCTCGGAAAAAGGTAGGGAGATGGAATTAGTTTTGTTCTGTATGAGTGTATGTGAAACATAGAATGTGAACATTTCCAGAGTGTGGCTAATGACCCCGGTAAATCTGACTATAACAGCTTAACTAAAAGGAGAGAACCAAAAGGACACACAGACACGGGAGCACCCTGAAACAATCTGGCATCCCTCCGCTCCACCGTCCACAAACCTGAGTGATCGCGTGCGAGCGGCGGGACAACAGCACCAGCGTCTCAGTTTACTATAATTGCCTGTGTCCATGGACCCCTGGATCTGCTGCCTTTATCTAAGGGGGAACATTAACTACCAAAAGCTAAACTAAACAAGTGAGTTTTCAGCCTAGATTTGAAGATTGCGACTGAGTCTGAGTCCCGAACATTTTCTGCAAGATCATTCCAGAGTTTGGGGGCTTTATAAGAAAAGGCTCTTCCCCCAGCTGAAACCTTCTGAATTTTGGGAACTATTAAAAAGCCAGCACTCTGTGATCTGAGTAATCGTGGTGGCTCATAATGGGAAATAAGGTCTTGCAGGTACTCAGGAGCGAGCCCATGTCGGGCTTTATACGTCAATAAAAGAATTGTGTAATCGATACGGAATTTAACAGGCAGCCAATGGAGTGATGATAGAACTGGACTGATATGATCAAATTTTCTAGTTTTAGTGAGAACCCTGGCTGCAGCATTTTGAACTAGTTGAAGTTTATTTAAATTCCTGCTGGTGCATCCTGATAGTAGTGCATTACAATAGTCTAGCCTTGAAGTAATAAAGGCATGTACTAATGTTTCTGCATCGTGCAGCGATAAGGCATTTCTTATTTTGGCGATGTTGCGAAGATGTAAAAAAGCTGTCCTAGTGATACTGCCTATGTGTTGATCAAATGATAAATCTGGATCAATTATGATGCCAAGATTTTTTGCTGCTGAGTCAACAGGATTTAAGTCAGCAAGATTTAAAATTAAATCTGGTAATTTATTTCTTGCCACTTTTGGACCCAGAAGGAGAACCTCTGTTTTGTTACTGTTTAGAAGGAGGAAGTTACGTAACATCCAGCCTTTCACATCTTTTACACAGTCCTCTATTTTCTTTAACCTGTATTTGTCATCAGGCTTGGCTGATATGTACAATTGCGTATCGTCTGCGTAACAGTGAAAGTTAATGCCATGGCTACTTATAACTGTGCCTAACGGTGGCATGTATAATGTAAATAAGAATGGTCCTAAAATAGAGCCTTGCGGAATTCCAAATCTTACTTGTGAATAATTGGAAGATGAATCATTTACCTTTACAAACTGATAACGTTCCGTTAAGTAAGATTTGAACCACGATAGGGCTGTCCCTGTAATTCCAGCCATGTATTCTAACCTTTCTAGGAGAATATTGTGGTCTATCGTATTGAAAGCTGCGCTGAGGTCAAGTAGTACCAACAGGGATACGTAGCCTTGATCAGAGGCAAGAAGAAGATCATTTGTTATCTTAAATAGAGCTGTCTCAGTGCTGTGATGTGGCCTGAATCCAGATTGGAATTTTTCATATATGTGGTTCTTATGTAGATATGAACTAAGTTGTTGGGCTACAGCTTTTTCTAAGATCTTAGATATAAATGGTAGGTTAGAAATAGGCCTGTAATTAGACAATACGCTAGCATCTAGGTTTGGTTTCTTGATCAGAGGCTTAATAACTGCTAGTTTAAAGGCTCTGGGTACATGGCCCAGGCTAAGGGACGAGTTTACTATAGTTAAAGGAGGATTAATGATAATTGGTAGTAGCAGCAGCTTTTTGACCTCTCTGTCCTACTGCAGATGAAGGCCTCATCCCATTTCTTCTTTTTACCCCTACCGCTTGTTTTCGAGTGTCACCCTAACCCCGTGGAACTGAGTTACAAGGGGTAGTGGTTGAAATTTTGCCCTACGAAATGGGACAACCCTCAAATTACATTGCTTCATTAACAGGACACCAGCGGTGCTCTGTAGGCGACCCGGCCCATCTTCAGTGATAACAGAGAAGCGAAAAGTTCAGCAACCTCGCTGCGGGGCTTTAGTTACATTTAGGGCATCATATGCTTTCAAAGAGGGGTATAAGACAATTATTTATTATCGCCCACCTCTAATTTTTTGGTGATACGAAGCTGAAGTCAGTTATTCACCAGCTTCTTGTTCGAATTTTCCCGTTCCACCTTAAATGGTGCAGCAGTTACATTCTGGCGCTTCAGGCGTCAATACTGCTGGACTATTTAAGGTGGAACTGGAAAGTTAGCTAGCTTAGTTAGCTACAGAGACATTGGCATGCTATTAGCTAGCGCTTTTTTATGCTTGTTATGAAGAAAACGACCATAATACATTGAAACGACATTTAACTAAGATATCGTGTTTGTTAACGGAGAAAATACATTTGTGGGTTTCTTTGGTCGCTCGCGCAGCCATCTTGCGGGTTTTCTTTTTTCCTTATAACACTCCATTTGGAGCGTGCCTCTGAAAAACCTCCGTTTGGAGGGCCATGTATCCCTGACCCTTCGCCCTACCCCTTTATCTCAACAAAAATTGGGACACCCTAACCCTAGACGTGATCGCGCGAAACAGACGGCTAAGGGCCAAGTGGTAGGGGCAAGGGGTGAAATGGGATTGGGCCAAAGTATTTCCTCATGGACATTCATCTGTCCTTAAATAAACTAGAAATTAGTTGAATAACTATTATTAGTTGAATATGAATTCAATTAAACAAACATTAAAATAGTCCATCAAAAACGCTCACCTGCAACTCAGTTAAATTAGTGCTTATCTACATTTCTGTGCAGCAATTTGTTTTCCTACCGAGTTCCTACGTAACGTACATGATGGTTTTATTGTAGTTACCTAATAATTGATAGTAGCCTCTAAATAATACATCTGTGATTAATAACTGAATAATAAGTCTGCAGTTTAAGGGATTAAAGAGGATATGACCTCTCTTGTCTCTTACTGTTTCAGCTCTAGTTGAACTTTTGGGACAATGCTTCCACATTTAAAATGTATTATTAATAGCCTGTTATCAAAACTTTGTAGAACATTACACAAATATTGGTATTATATTAAATCACTGTTGATCCATTCTAATCACTAGGCCCTACGTACTCTTAAAATCAAATAAATAAAAGTTGATAATATAACGGACTAACTTTTTTTCAGC